TTTTTTGATAAACGGCCGCACAGAAAGTAATATTTTAAATTCAAGCATTGCTTAGCGCATATGAACAAGTTTTCAGCGCACAGGATAACACAAGCGAGTTCATTCAAAAATTACATCCTTGGTACATTCATCCGCCACAAGGCGGGCACCAGCAAGAACATCCTTGTAATAGTTCTCGGGCTTGCGATGCTCCTTCCCCGGCGGTGGCCCGTCCTTCACAAGCTTCTCACCGTCCAGCTTACCCCAGTGCACCTTTGCACGGGCAAGGGCCCTACGGGCACCTTCGATGCAGACGGAGCGCTTGATAACCTCGAGCCTTGGACAAGCCTCCACCAGCCGCCGCACCAGTCCGAAGTAGCTCCCAAGCAGGGCCTCTCCAAGCCACAGCCGAACTATGAAGCCCTTCAGGGCCTGTTCGTCCGCCTTGTGGAGCTCGACCAGCTGCTTCAGCTGGTCACTCAAGGGCACAAGGTGTCCAGCCTCACCGTACTGAGACCAGAACACCTTCTCCGTCGAGCTGCCTTCCTCGGCTCGGTAGAATGCAGCGGCATCGGATACACTGTGGGGAAGATCTGCGAATGCCCCTGGAGAGCTCCGGATTCGGGTAAGTAACAAGTAGTTTACTTTTATATGTCTGCTTTGCATATAGAATGCCTTACCCGCCGCTATCTTTTTCACCGCATCCAATTCCTGGAGGGCCTTCTGGGCTTCGGCCTTGGCAGATTTGGCAGTTTTAAGGGCCGCAGCAAGCTCGAACGCTCGCGTCTTCGAGTCGAGCTCCAAACTCTCATGTTTTTGCATGAGAACCTGAAGCTCTTGCCGCACCTCGCTGACCTGCACCTCAAATTTCTCCCACTCGGTGCGCTCCGTGGCCACTTTCTTCTCGGCCTCGGACAGCGCCTACTTGAGGGTCGCCACCTCAGTTGTGGTCCCTACAATAAGCAGTATACTCCTGTCATTTTTTGCAATTGCGCCTTCCTATAGGCATTTTTTCTATAAGGTATATCTTACCTTCTTTCTCCTCGAGCTGCCGTTTGGCAAGGCCGAGCTCTTGCTCGGTTCGCTCGAGGCCCTGCTTCAGGGCACCCACCTCCGCAGTCAGTGCGGCGATGGCCAGCAGCGAAGCCTGCATACGTATATTGACTCCTTTTTAGTTAGACTCCTGCGATATTTAATAGATCCTCTATTCAGCTTTTCTTTTCGAACGCCAAACAGAGCATCAGGGGCTACTATCTATACGGTAATATTTTTACATATTTTTACTTACCTCGAAGCCTGTTAGAAGGCTAGCACAAGCTTCAGTCAGTCCGCTTTTGGCGGACCGAACCTTCTGGACCACCGTACTCATGATGGCACGGTGCTCCTTGTCGATGGAGGCGCCCTTAAGCTCCTCCAGCAGATTGTCCGGCGCCTCCGGTTGGACGGAGGACGCCGGCTCAGTAGGCTTGCTCCTCTTGGCAGGAGTTCGCCTACCGCGATCCGGAACCGTTGATGATTCCGGCGCAGTGTCCGGCTTAAAGCCGGACTTGGAGCCCAGGGGGGTCTTGTCCCCTTCACTCCTAGAGTCTGGGAGGTCGCCTCGCGGCTCCTCCTGGACCACCTCCTCTCGCCCCGGAGCTTGTCGCGACGCCACTTCGGCGTCATTCGCAGCACAGGGGGAAGCAGCGGGCAGAACTGAATTCACGTCCGATGAATCCAGGGAGCCGCTCGACGACTCGTCGAGCTCGTCCTTGGGCGGACTGCATGATTATATCCGACATTAGGGAAACCTGTGCAATAAAAGGAATATCACGAGTTACTCTGGTATCCGAACACTTACGATCTCGCCGGACGCTTGGCCCTGTCCGGCCACTCCTCTTCGTCCTCGTCGGCGTCGGGGACGTAGTCCGGCGGAGGGGTTTTCCTCTTCTTGGACCCCTCGGCCTCCTCTACTGGGGAGGCCTTCCTCTTCTTTCCTCCCCCCGCTGGAGGGGGAGAGGTTTCTTCTTCCTCCTCCTCGTCTTCACAGGAGGAGTGCGTCTCGGACTCGTCGGACGACGAGTCCGACACCACCATATGTTGGGAACTCTTTCGAGTCCCCGTGGCCTTCTTCTTCTTGGCCTTCTTCTCCGGCACCACATAAGGTGCCGGAACCAGCAGCTTCTCTAGGAGAGCAGGGGCTGGGTCTTCGGGCAAGGGAGCCGGACAGTTAATCTGTCCGGACTTCTCCCGCCAAGCCTGTCAAAGGTGAGGGAGTTTAGATCCCGCATATAGTCAAACTATGAAAAAACTTAACATCCTGTAAAAGATGGAAATATCTTACCTCGCCAGCAGGACGCTGCGAGCTGAATCCGCGGTCTTCGGAGGCGGATGTGGGAGCCTCGGCGCCTTTGGTTAGCCCCCCTCCAGACATCTTCGTACTCGTGTCGAAGAGCCTGCGCAGAGTTCGGTGCTACGCCGGGTTGAACTCCCACAAATTGAAGTCCCGTTCTTGACACGGAAGGATCCGGCGGACGAGCATGACCTGGATTATGTTGACAAGCTTGAGCTGCTTGTTCACCAGGGGCTGGATGCGTTTTTGCAGTCCGGTCAACTCTTCTTCGTCGCCCCACGACAAGCTCGTCTCCTTCCAGGACGTGAGCCGCGTAGGGGGTCCAGATCGGAATTCAGGGGCTGCGATCCACTTCGGATCGCGTGGCTCGGTGATGTAGAACCACCCTGACCGCCACCCCTTCAAGGTCTCCACAAAGGAGCCCTCGATCCATAGGACGTTGGCAATTTTGCTCGCCATGGCACCTCCGCACTCCGCCTGGTTGCCGCACACCACCTTTGGCTTGACATTGAAGGTCTTGAGCCAGAGGCCGAAATGGGGGCGAATGCAGAGGAAAGCCTCGCACACGATGATAAACACCGAGATATTAAGGATGAAGTTCGGGGCCAGATCGTGGAAGTCTAGGCCATAGTAGAACATGAGCCCGCGGACAAATGGGTGGAGAGGAAAACCCAGTCCACGGAGGAAGTGGGGAAGAAATACTACCCTCTCATGGGGCCTTGGAGTGGGGAGAAGCTGCCCCTCCTCAGGAAGCCGGTGCGCGATGTCTTTGGACAAGTATCCGGCCTTCCTTAACCTTTTGACATGGCCCTCCGTGACGAAGGAGATCATCCACTTGCCTCCCGCTCCGGACATTGTTGGAGAGGGTTGAGGTAGAAAGTGCGGGCTTGGGCACTGGAGCTTGGGTGCGCAAAAGATGGATAGGAAAAGGAGGAAGAAGGCGTAGGTAAAAAGGTGGATCCTTATCCCCTTATATGGGCGGATGCGACTATGCGTCCCCACCAGCCTAGTAAAACTTGCTTGCCTCCCAAGCGCCGTGATAAGTGGCGCGGTTGGGTTACCCACGTCCGTATTAACGAGAATCCCATAAACAAAGGGGACATGATCTCTGATTTGACAAGACGTGCCAAGGAAACCACCTCGCAAAACACGCTGAGGTGGAGAAGTGAAAACGATTCGAATAAAGGCTTGGCCGTAGTGTGATGTCACGCTGCGGAATACGTCAGCAGATTAGATTTGTGTTAATATTATTCTCTCTATGGCAATACGTGGAAGCTTATTTTGCAGAGCCGGACACCACTCTTGGTGTTTACAAACTTTTATGAAGAATTTGGAGGAGGAACCCGCCTTGCAATGCCGAAGACAATCTGCGCGCCGGACTCGTTGTCATTGAAGCCTGGTTCAAGGGCTACTGAGGGACTCCTGGATTAGGGGGTGTTCGGGTAGCCGGACTATACCTTCAGCCGAACTCCATGACTATGAAGATACAAGATTGAAGATTCTGTCCCGTGTTCGAATGGGACTTTCCTTGGCGTGGAAGGCAAGCTTGGCGATGCGGATATTCAAGATCTCCTACCATTGTAACTGACTTTGTGTAACCCTAACCCTCTCCGGTGTCTATATAAACCGGAGGGTTTTAGTCCGTAGGACAACTTCATCATACAACAATCATACCATAGGCTAGCTTTTAGGGTTTACCCTCCTTGATCTCGTGGTAGATCTACTCTTGTACTACCCATATCATCAATATTAATCAAGCAGGACGTAGGGTTTTACCTCCATCAAGAGGGCCCGAACCTGGGTAAAACATTGTGTCCCTCGTCTCCTGTTACCATCCGTCCTAGACGCACAGTTCGGGACCCCCTACCCGAGATCCGCCGGTTTTGACACCGACACTCTCCTTCTTCTTCTTGGGCGCCGGCAACCCACCGTGCACTCGCACCAAAAGGCATAGCCAAGTTGGGAGCATGCCCGGGCAAAAAGCCTAGCTACAATAGTAAATAGTGCCAAATAATGTTCTAATTGCTACAGTGAATGAAGCACTAGGGCCTAGCGACGCCTTTGCTCACGCCCGGCAAGCCTCAGACTTGCTCCCGCCAGACATGCCGTCGGTCGCGGCACCCCCTTCTCATTCTACTTCATGCCAAGGCTTCGCCGGGATGCCAGGGCCAGCTACGTCACTCTCGTCTCTACCTAGTAGCTCTGCTTCTTCAACGAAATTCGATCGACGCCAATTCTGTTTTCAATTGTAGATAGCAAACATGTGAAATGTTTAGTTGTGAGTTGTGACTGCCCACTAGCTAGTTCCTCAAACCCGAAGAGAAAACACGAAAGTTTATGCATCGTTGCTTGCAAGCACCTCAATAGTCGATATCGATTTTGCACTAAAATTTGTGTACTTGCGCCATCTGAAAATAAACAAAACATTTCCAGAAGTTCAAGCCGGTGGACAAATTTATTTTTACGGTGTCTTGTGTGTAACAGGACAACTTCCAAGGCAATTTGTGTCACAAGAACCTGTTGTAACTTCAGTAGTTTGCATTAGCGCATTTCAATAAAAAAAAGGGTCGCCAAGAGAAAATTCAGACCCTCTCTGGAAACATCCTTGAAGATCAGAACAGCCAGTGACCAGCATTATGTAGACTTCACCGCGCACAGACCCCAGACTCGCTACTTTGGAATGCACCGCCTACACGGTGCAGCCAGCAGACAATAGAAGCAACACCTGCTTGAGCACCGATGCACTCTCGACAAAATATTTGAGGAAGGCGAGCTCACTTCGACCCCCTCGGAAATCATGGAAGATCAGCTCCTTGATGCACGACTGGATGCATTCTGCGGTACCAGAGTCATGCCAGGACTTTAGGTTGAGCTTGCCAGTGGATTGATCAGATTTTCCACACTGAAAATTTCCATCAATTAAATGCACATGAAGTTCATCAGCTGTTGACAAAAATTCCAGACTGAAAAATTCCATCAATTAACTAGGTTGGGCACATGCAAACATAAGCTGAAAGAGGGAGGGCTTCACCTTGATGTGGAGCGTCTCGACATTACGAAAGCATCCGAGGACACTCGGAATCATCTTGGCATCATTGCGTACATCGAAACGCACCTCCAGAGCCAGGACTATCACACTTGGTACCATGGTTCTTGGGCTCACTCTTGTCCCAGCCTGCAAATGCAATTCACAGTGCAATCATCTTCAATTATAAGAGAAATGAAATCACAAATTGAAAGTTAACAACAGTCTCGGCACCTTGATGATGGTGTTGCCGACATTGAAGACGTGATTCCCTGTGTCCAACTGCAAGTAGGCCAGCAATTGCAGCTTAGGGGCATGGCCGATCCTGACCTTGGTGCAGCCCGTGTCGGGGGTCCAACCCTCCAAATTGATTAGGCGCTGAAGGCGTGGGGCGTTCACCACGAAGATCTCCTCCTTGGCGGTTGACGAGGATGAGCTCCTATACCCCCTTGGCGGCGAGGAGCTGGAGCCAGGGCGTGAGCAGGTGGCTGGACTCCTCCGTGTAGCTGCTGGTGAGGTGGACGCACGGAAGGGCCCTGGGTGCGCCTCGAGGACGCGGGACAGGGCGGAGGCTGCCGGGGATGGGGAGAGGTCCGTGTCGGTGAGGACGAGCGAGATGGAACGCCAGACCCCGCGCCAGCAGCGGGAGAGCAGGGCGGTGCGCGCGGCGTCCTTGATGGGCAGGAGGGAGACGATGCGACGGAGTATCACGTCGGGGAGGCGGCTGACGCGGTCGATGGGGTCATCGGAGGGGAGGGCGGAGAGGCGAGCGACGGCGGAGACGGGCGGGTCGGGGAGTGTGCGGTGGATGCAGTAGAGCAAGAGGGCCAAGATCTCGTTTATCTCGTGTGGTTCACGCCCGTGGTGCATCATATCGGTGAGCATCGCGGCCCCGAGGGTGCCCGGAGCTGACGCCGGCGGCGGCATGACCTCGGCGGAGACGAGGGTTTTGAGCGGCGCGAGCTATCGGTGGACGGCGGAACACCAAAGGGGAATGAAATGCAGATACAGGTGTGGGGGCAAGTCACACCCACCCTCCAAACCAGATCTTACGGTGAGGATGAATCAAGGGAGATGTACCCCTCCATCTGAGAAAATCCTAGGGAAAATGACGTCAATCGTGCAACGCGCCTTCCCTCTCGAGCGGCAGCCGGCCGACCTCGTCCGCTTGCCTCACCATCGTCGTCGGTCTCAACTTTCTCGCCATCGCAAGTCGTTCACAGGCAGTGATACGTCCATTTTGCATCATGCTTTTATACGATATTTATTGCATTATGGGCTGTTATTACACATTATGTCACAATACTTATGCCTATTCTCTCTTATTTTACAAGGTTTACATAAAGAGGGAGAATGCCGGCAGCTGGGATTCTTGGCTGGAAAAGGAGCAAATATTAGAGACCTATTCTACACAGCTCCAAAAGTCTAGAAACTTCACAGAAGACGTTTTCAGAATATATAAAAAATACCGAGCGCAAGAAGTTCACCAGGGGGGCCACACCCTGCCCACGAGGGTGGGGGCGCGCCCTACCCCCCTGGGCGCGCCCCCTACCTCGTGGGCCCCCTGGTGGCCCTCCGATGGCCATCTTCTGCTATATGAAGTCTTTTGATGAGGAAAAAAAATCATAAGCCATCTTCTTGGACGAAACTCCGTCACCACGAGGCGGAACCTTGGCGGAACCAATCTAGGGCTCTGGCGGAGCTGTTCTGCCGGGGAAACCTCCCTCCGAGAGGGGGAAATCATCGCCATCATCATCACCAACGCTCCTCTCATCGGGAGAGGGCAATCTCCATCAACATCTTCACCAGCACCATCTCCTCTCAAAATCCTAGTTCATCTCTTGTATCCAATTCTTGTCTCCAAGTCCGGGATTGGTACCTGTGGGTTGCTAGTAGTGTTAATTACTCCTTGTAGTTGATGCTAGTTGGTTTATTTGGTGAAAGATCATATGTTCAGATCCTATATGCACATTAATACCCCTCTGATTATGAACATGAATATGCTTTATGAGTAGTTACGTTTGTTCCTGAGGACATGGGAGAAGTCTTGCTATTAGTAGTCATGTGAATTTGGTATTCATTTGATATTTTGATGAGATGTATGTTGTCTCTCCTCTAGTGGTGTTATGTGAACGTCGACTACATAACATTTCACTATTATTTGGGCCTAGAAGAAGGAATTGGGAAGTAATAAGTAGATGATGGGTTGCTAGAGTGACAGAAGCTTAAACCCTAGTTTATGCGTTGCTTCGTAAGGGGCTGATTTGGATCCATATGTTTCATCCTATGGTTAGGTTTACCTTAATACTTTTGTTGTAGTTGCGGATGCTTGCAATAGAGGTTAATCATAAGTGGGATGCTTGTCCAAGTATGGACATCGCCCAAGCACCGGTCCACCCACATACCAAATTATCGAAGTACCGAACGTGAATCATATGAACTTGATGAAAACTAGCTTGACGATATTCCCATGTATCCTCGGGAGCGCTATTCTCTATATAAGAGTTTGTCCAGGCTTGTCCTTTGCTACAAGAAGGATTGGGCCACCTTGTTGCACTTTATTTACTTTTGTTACTTATTGCTCATTACAAATTATCCTATCACAAAACTGTCTGTTACCACTTATTTCAGTACTTGCAGAGAATACCTTGCTGGAAACCGCTTATCATTTCCTTCTGCTCCTCGTTGGGTTCGACACTCTTACTTATCGAAAGGACTACGATAGATCCCCTATACTTGTGGGTCATCAAGACTCTTTTCTAGCGTCGTTGCCGGGGAGTGAAGCGCCTTTGGTAGCTGGAATTTGGTAAGGAAAATTTATATAGTGTGCTGAAATTTACTGTCACTTGTTACTATGGAAAGTAATCCTCTGAGGGGCTTGTTCGGGGTATCTTCACCCCGACCAGTAGAGCAAAGAGTTGCTCCTCAACCTACTGAACCTACTGAAAATGAAAATGAAAATGAAAATGAAAATGTCTGCTTTGAAATTCCTTCGGGTATGATAGAAAAAATGCTAGCTAATCCTTTTACAGGAGACGGAACAACTCATCCTGATGAGCACCTAATATATGTGGATGAAGTTTCTGGATTATTTAAGCTTGCAGGTGTACCCGGAGATGTTGTTAAGAAGAAGGTCTTCCCTTTATCTTTGAAGGAAGATGCATTGACATTGTATAGGCTATCTGATGATACGGGGTCATGGAACTACAAACGATTGAAATTATTTCATCAGAAGTATTATCCTATGCATCCTGTTCATCGTGATCGCAATTATATATATAATTTTTGGCCTCGCGAAGGAGAAAGCATCGCTCAAGCTTGGGGGAGGCTTAAATCAATGTTATATCATGCCCCAATCATGAGCTCTCAAGAGAAATGATTATTCAAAATTTATATGCTCGGCTTTCTGATAACAATCGCACCATGCTCGATACTTCTTGTGCTGGCTCTTTTATGACGAAGACTATTGAATTCAAATGGGATTTATTGGAAAGAATTAAACGCAACTCTGAATATTGGGACCTCGACAAAGGTAAGGAATCAGGTATGACACCTAAGTTTGATTGTGTTAAATCTTTTATGGATACCGATGTTTTCCGTAAGTTTAGCACTAAATATGGACTTGACTCTGAGATAGTAGCTTCTTTCTATGAATCTTTTGCTACTTATGTTGATCTCCCCAAGGAGAAGTGGTTTAAATATCATCCTCCCATAGACGTAAAAGTAGCTGCACCTATTAAAGTTGAAGAAAAGACTATCACTTATAATGATCCTATTATTCCTACTTCTTATGTTGAGAAACCACATTTCCCTGTTTGGATAAAGGATCATGCTAAAGCTTCAACTGTGGTTTGTAAAAGCAATATTAAAACTTATACACCTCTTGAGCAAATTAAAGTTGAACCTGATATTGCTATTGTTAAAGATCTCTTATCTGATAATATTGATGGGCATGTTATATCATTTCCTTGATGAGACTGCTAGAATTGTAAAACCTTGTGCTAAAGATAAAAACAGACATGTGGTAGGCATGCCTGTTATTTCTGTTAAAATAGGAGATCATTGTTATCATGGCTTATGTGATATGGGTGCTACTGCTAGTGCAATACCTATTGACCTATATAGAGAAATTATGCATGATATTGCACCTGTTGAGTTAGAAGATATTGATGTCACAATTAAACTTGCCAATAGAGATACTATTTCACCAATGGGAATTGTTAGAGATGTTGAAGTCTTGTGTGGGAAAACTAAATATCCTGCTGATTTTCTTGTTCTTGGTTCCCCACAAGATAGCTTTTGTCCCATTATATTTGGTAGACCCTTCTTAAACACTGTTAATGCTAAGATAGATTGCAAAAAGGATGTTGTTACTATCGGTTTAGATGATATGTCTCATGAATTTAATTTTTCTAAATTTAGTAGACAACACCGTGAAGAAGAATTACCTAGTAAAGATGAAATTATTGGTCTTGCTTCTATTGCCGTACCTCCTAGTGATCCTTTAGAACAATATTTGCTAGACCATGAAAATGATATGTTTATGAATGAAAGAAGGGAAATAGATGAAGTATTTTTTAAACAGGAACCTATTCTGAAACATAACTTGCCTGTTGAAATCCTAGGGGATCCTCCTCCACCCAAGGGTGATCCCGTGTTTGAGCTTAAACCGTTGCCTGATACTCTTAAATATGCTTATCTTGATGAGAAAAAGATATATCCTGTTATTATTAGTGCTAACCTTTCAGAGCATGAGTAAGAGAGATTATTGAAAACTCTGAAGAAGCACCGTGCTGCTATTGGGTATACTCTTGATGATCTTAAGGGCATTAGTCCCACTCTATGTCAACATAAAATAAATTTGGAAGAAGATGCTAAACCAGTTCGTGATCATCAACGACAGCTGAATCCTAAAATGAAAGAAGTGGTAAGAAAGGAAATACTAAAGCTCCTTGAGGCAGGTATAATCTATCCCGTTGCTGATAGTCTGGGTAAGTCCTGTCCATTGTGTTCCTAAGAAGGAAGGTATTACTGTCGTTCCTAATGATAAAGATGAATTGATTCCTCAAAGAATTATTATAGGTTATAAGATGGTATTTGATTTCCGCAAATTAAATACGGCCACTAAAAATGATCATTACCCCTTACCTTTTATTGATCAAATGCTAGAAAGATTATCCAAACATACACATTTTTGCTTTCTAGATGGTTATTCTGGTTTCTCTCAAATACCTGTGTCAGCCAAGGATCAATCAAATACTAGTTTTACTTGCCCTTTTGGTACTTTTGCTTATAGACGCATGCCTTTTGGTTTATGTAATGCACCTACTACCTTTCAAAGATGCATGATGGCTATATTCTCTGACTTTTGTGAAAAGATTTGTGAGGTTTTCATGGACAATTTCTCCGTCTATGGATCTTCTTTTGATGATTGCTTGAGCAACCTTGATCGAGTTTTGCAAAGATGTGAAGAAACTAATCTTGTCTTGAATTGGGAAAAGTGCCACTTTATGGTTAATGAAGGTATTGTCTTGGGGCATAAAGTTTCTGAAAGAGGTATTGAAGTTGATAAAGCCAAGGTTGATGCTATTGAAAAGATGCAATGCCCCAAGGACATCAAAGGTATAAGAAGTTTCCTTGGTCACGCCGGTTTTTATAGGAGGTTCATTAAGGGCTTCTCAAAAATTTCTCGGCCTCTGACTAATTTATTACAAAAAGATATACCATTTGTCTTTGATGATGATTGTGTAGAAGCACTTGAAATACTTAAGAAAGCATTGATCTCTGCACCTATTGTTCAGCCACTTGATTGGAATTTACCCTTTGAAATTATGTGTAATGCTAGTGATTATGCTGTAGGTGATGTTATAGGGCAAAGAGTTGAT